ACATAGCTCATCCTCACTCGGCACTCATTCATTATGTCGGAATACTGGAAATCAACAGTATGTCAAGGCTCTCTCGAACTCTCTACGGTCTATATAGTGCACTACTGACTTATCTACAGCCAAAATACTGGTGCAAGCATTGCAGCACCTATGTCAAAGACACCCCTTTCGAACGCAGACAGCATGAGGGAACCACCAAGCACCAAAACAACCTGAAGCGATTTCTCCGTGACATCCAAAACAGCCATGAGCGAGGCGAACGGGAAAAAGAACGCGCCAAGTCAGAAGTCGAGAGACTGAAGGGAGTTGCTGGTGGTGACACTGGCAGGTCCGCGAGCCCCTCACAATCATCCTCGAAACAGAGCCGTCCTTTCGCACAGAACCCTTTGTCTAATGCAGATAGGAAGAGACAATGGGCGCAGCTGGCCGATATGGGGATCAAAGTCCCTGAAGAATTCCGTTCTGAAATGGCCATGGTGGGTGACTGGCAGGTGGTGTCACAACAGGTGGTTGATGAGTCCCCATCAGAAACCCCCCTGAGTATAGGTGTGAAAAAGCGCAAATACGAAGGTCAGGAGGAAGATGAAGAGGAGAAGCAAGAAGCTGGCGAGGCTGTCGTGCGACGGGGATGGGGTGCTACCACCAAAAGATATCCCGGCGAGGACAAAGCTGACCTGGATGAACTCTTGTCGGGTTCCATCTCACTGAAGAGAGAAACGCCCGGGTCCTTGAGTACGCAATTCAAATCGGAAGAGAAGGATTCTTTGCAACCGGGACACAAGCCAGTGCTCAGCCAACATGGACATCAAAGTGGAGATTATACCTCACCGAAGGTGGAATCTTTCTCCAATACCCGCCCAGACGAAGATGGTCTGGTGGTGAAAGGGGAGCCAGGCTCAACACAACCATCCAAGTCTATGGACCGAATCCCAGAGGAGATTCCGATTCCTGTGTTCAAGAGACGTAAGGCTAAAATATCCTGAAACACCACATCCTCGCGGTACCCGCTGGTATGGTGGAATCTAAGCGGGCAGAAGCGAACCGGAGTCCAGATAAGCGAGATCATGATCAAGCCAACCTTTGATTGTCGACTGATTCCATTCAGTTTTGGCCCAAACTCTGATGCTTAGTTGGCAAACCGTTGGCCACTGGAATTAATTGACCAAGTTGTTGCACGAACTCCTCAAGTGGCGTAACCACGTGGGGTTCACCGTCACACAGTACGACACCATTGATGATATGACAGCAGTGACAGGACCATCCTCGTTTCGAAGGTGACGCACCTTCAACTTCGGCCAACCGAAGGTATAAGGTAGGTAGGTATTTCCCGCGGTCGGACAATGCGTGAAATTCAACCCCAACTTTGACCAGGGAGCAGCAGTCAGCATTGTCTGGTTTCGGGCGGGCGGAGGACCACTGCAAGCCAGTTACGCGACACCCCATGTGCAAGAAAGCCAAACATGAGAGAAAACCTGCATCCAAACAGGTTATCGGCCATGCCGAGTGGCCTGGTGTCAATGTGACCTGGAAGCGCTGCTTCTCCAGGCGAGGTTTACGTAGGCTCTGATAAATCAACAGCGTCATCACTGACCGCCTTCAGTTCTTTTAGAAAGGTGTCATGCATGAGCTACATGTCACCACCAGCCAATTGCACATCGTGGAAAGGTCGAATCATTCCAGTTGTCATCCTCGTTTAGGCTTGATTATGCCGAGGAGTCCTCGATGCGCCCAGCCGTGAGGGCAGCACAAGCGGTGCGCGTGAAATACGGCCAGTCTTCTCCTGGAATGACCCTAAGGCAAGGGTCTCGGTCGCCTCTGCACACCTGCATGCTGCTTGTGCTTCTCGCCTTTTAGTCCCGCCAGGGATCTGGCTCGTTCGGAGAATATTGTGCTGCATTGTTGCATGACTCCCGTCTCTGGCGCACCTCCGTCAGTCATCCTCGTGGTGTCTATCGACAAAAGGCAGTTTTAGTGGAAACCCATCACTATCATCAGGTTTGTCAAAGTTTTGCAATTTTCGTCTCCGTGCAGGATGCCATGCGATGAGCCCAGTCGAGGTTCACAGGGGGATCAAGGTCCTCTTGCCAGTGCCATCTCAGGGAATGCTTTCTTGCACCTTCTCATGTTGAGCAGAGGGGCTCATGTGACACCAAAGCCACCCTCGAGACGACCAGTTGACAAATGGTACCTGGGCGGTACCGGATCAAATGCGGGCCACCATGCATTGTGGCTGGGCGATCATGACGGCTCGAGGAGCGTTCCTGGGATGATCAAGGCAGAAAGTCCAGAGCCCGAGGGGGAGGCCTGCCAAAACGGAGGCAAGCACACATCTCGGAGCGAGGTCCAACTTGTCTCGCTAAGAAGCACACACGAACTTCAAAAAGGCTAAAAGTGCCCTGTGCGCCGGAGATGTGTGGATAATGGACGCTTTCGGTGGAGTATCTTGAGCCCTTGGGCCGTCGTGGACTTGTCGAGGACGAGTTTCCTGGGCTATTTGTTCAACTAGTTTGTCTGGAGATTTTCGAACACTTGTTTCAGTCGATAGCGTGACGGGGGTCATGGTGATCAAACGGCAAGGTTCCAGGGATATCACACGCCAATCCTGAGGCCTTCGCTATCTTTTGTCCCCTCATCCCCAACCTCTCCAATAGTCGGCCAGGGTGGAAGCTGAATGGGTAACTGGTGGCGCACCACTTCGAACGCACCAAGACAGGAACAGAGGGAGAATCAGGAAGCGGAGCGCGAGGGTCGACGAGGTAGGAAAAGCACCAGCACCACTACTCTCTTTTTTTTTCTGGAGCCCGCAGGTCCTCGGTAGACGACATGGGTTGATTCGGTGGGTTTGGATGCTGACATGGTCACATTGAGAGACAGCCTCAAAGGAAGGATACGGAGTACCCTGTCGGCGTGCTATTCTCGAGTAGGCAGAGTCAGGGAGGGAGTTGCATGCAAGCGCAAGTGCAGCGAGTCGACTAACTGGGCTCGGTTACAGAAGTGGGCGCTCGATGGCTACGCTTTTTCCAAAATTGTTGGTGGCTCGACTGATACGACTCCATTTCTCGAAATCCCGCTAGCAGGGTTCTAGAGTCCCTTGGCAACGGTCAAGCAGCAGCATCGTGACTTCCAGGGCACTCACGTTCGTTCTCTTTCGGGATATTGCATTCTCAGAAAGAAGGAGAGAGCCCGGGAGCATCAACAACAACATTGGTCCGTGTCAAAGGCTTCCCAGGTCGACAGTGGGACGAGAGGAAGCCTGCTCTCCACGGTGCGTTATCTATCCTTTTGTTTGGCCCGGTTGCTTCTGCCTGATTCCTGATTTGTTGCCTGTGTGGTGCTATGTACGGGGAGTATGTGGTGTGTGAGTGTGTTTGACATCCAAGTGCTTTTTTTGCCCGCCTCCGTTTGGACCACATCTGCGCATCCCCCTGCCCATGATTTGATCAATCTTCATCCTTCACCGTATCCACCAGGACAAACATACGGTGTACATACTTACCTAGGTATGTACGGAGTACTCGTACACTACTGCTCCAGCCTTGAAAAGGCTCAGAGACTATTCATCCAGGGGGGGCCGGGACTATGCCCTGTTGGACGATTGTGGTTTTGTCTTTCTCAGCTTCTGATCAATTGACAATGATTGTTACTGTGTATAGCTGGCCGCGCCGATGCACATTAATGCAACCGACCTGGAGCGGGAAGCGCTAGGAGTGGGCAAAGCCGGCAACAAAGGGCGCCCCCAGATGAAGCACGGTCTAAGGGTGCTTAGACTCGGGCCTAACGTCGTCTGGCGTCGGGAGATGCCCTAAGCGAGAAGCCTCTTGACTGGGTACCAGGGATTTTGCAAACTCTTTGCCCAGCAGGAGGCCACAGACTGGTGCAGCCAGGTCGAAGTCTTCTGGGTCGCTACTCCTGGGGACCGTTGATTGACACTCAGCTTGTTCCGGGCCGTTCGGGGCACTGATGGAGTCGTGCTGTTGTCCGCTGTTTCCATCCATCATCTGTCCAGTGCCCTCAGCCAGTCTCGTCCACTAGTGCCTCTGGTGCCTCCAGGCCAGGTATGGCTTTTGGAGCACGGCCACCTTTGCATTGTTGCACCTGGTTTCCCCCCCCAGAGAATGCTTGTCGTCTAAGGCGGCTGATCGAGTCGAAGCGATCCCAAGCGAGGTTCGTGCCAATTTCGCCATCGAAATCTGATTCATGCTCACCTGCGTTTCGGCACTTAGGACGTCCGCGAGGCCTCGAGCAGAGGGCGAGCACTCTTATGGTCAAGGCGTTGACCCATTGTGCCCATTGGCGACTGGTGGGCGTTTCACGGGGCCTGAATGGGGTGACCAAGCACTTCAGCAGCTTCCCCCCTGCCCCGTCAAGCCCTGTCAGTGGACTCGCATGCCTGTCAACCGCCGCTGCTCCTTCCGTCCAGTGCCATGCCACTTCGCTCCTCCATCCCAGGTCATATGTTTATGTTACTATCGTGCAGGCACACCATACCACATACTCCATACCTTTTCCGAGTACTTTGCTTTCTTCACAACTTTGCTTTGCGCTCCATCCTCTCCCATCCCCTGGTTGTTTGTTCTCCATCGTCGCTGCGCTGGGCTGTTTCTTGTTTTGTTCTTTTGCATCGCTTGCTGACTTGCGTTACCTTTGCCTGTTCGCTGCAAAGACGGTCTTCAAGTTCCTCCGTCTGCAAGGAAAAGACAGAAAAACCGGTCGGGAAAAGAATCCAAAATCTCGCGGAAGCGTTGCCAAAAGGCCAAAAGGATTGGGCCTGAACACCGACCAGCTGGAAATCTCACTGATGACCGTCCAATTGGCCGTTTGAGACGGACTTTCCAAGTTTACTGCTTAGGAAAAGCACCCGGCGACGAGAATCTGCACTTGCCACCCACACACCCTTTCATCGACGTCGCCTTGCGTCGCGACTTTGTTGCATTGACCGACCCTGCTCGCGAGAAGCAGCAGGAGGGCGACGAGCAGCAGACCTGATGAACTATTCAAATATGACCACGGCGGCTCTACAAGCTTCGACGGCACCCATCAGCTTGCCTCCGATCAGCAGCATCGATTTCCACACCCAAGTCGCACATAGGCCGGAACCCGAAGTTGTGCAACCTCTACCACCCCCACCGCCAGCACAGCAGCGTGTGCTGCCACCGCTGCCGTATCCTTACGCTGTTCGACCAGCCCCGGCACCTGGCCCGCCGCCGCCAGGACCTCCCGAGTATGTACAGTCACGACCAATCTATCCGGGGATTCCATCGCCGTACCAGCAGATGCCAGGACGGATGCCTCTGCCCTCGACCACGGACCCGAATTTGATCGTTGCACCTCCGCGACACAAAGCCAAGGAGGTGAAGAGACGGACCAAGACAGGATGTCTGACATGCCGAAAGAGGCGCATTAAGGTGAGTCCGTTTCTTTTCTGCAACCATCTGATCACTTCAGTCTTGCCCAAGTTTCGGTTCTGTTCATGTCAACGTCACGTCTTTGCCCACGTTGTCGACACGCACGGGGTGGGCGGGTTTTGGCAGCGAGCGCATGGCATGGCAAGGCCAGCCCCGAAGGCAAGGACCATTTTGGGGGGGGCGGGCTGAGGGCAAGTTTACACGGGCGGGACTCCACTCGGGCTAGTGAAGTGATAGCCGTGGATGGCGCCTAACACCAAATCCATGGAGCTCCCCTGCGGTGCCTGCCCCCCCCCCCCCCAATTGCCCCCAAAGGATGCCCGGCCCTTTTTAGGCTACTACGCCTGGTACTATGCCTCGGGGCTTGGTGATCGACCATGCCATCTCCGCCCGTGTCACAAACCTTCCCTTCTCCATCCCTAACTTAACGGCGCTACACACATTTTTTTCTGTCTAAGCGACTCCATCGCTCAACGCCTCTCGTCGTCTCGAGATTGCTTCCCGTTCTTCAGTCCCCTTTGGGTCACGGCAGCACTTTCCCTCGCGTCCACTTGCGCTCTGCTAGTCTCCTCCAAGCGCAACCATTGATTTCCCTCCTGCTACCGTCACACAACCGCTAACGATTCGATTCGATTGACAGTGCGATGAAGGGCGACCAGAGTGCAGAAATTGCATGAAGAGCAAGCGCACTTGTCAAGGCTACGACCCGGTCTTTCAGACGCAAGGACCACATTCTCTGCACCCTGCGCCGTCGGCCTCGACCAACAATAGCAGCACCAGCAGTAACAATCCTCCTCCACTGCCCCCCACAATCAACCAGCCTAGGAGGTTTACCACAACTCCCATCAGTCCTCCGGTGGCCAATCATCATTCATCCATCGTCTCGAGTTCACCTCGAGATCACTCAGAATATCCTTTCCCACGGCCGCCGGAACAGATATTGCCTCACATTAATCAGCCATATCATATGGACGGTGCGCATCAGCCTGGTCTGGCTCCATACCCACCGCCTGGACGAAGTGAGTGGAGTTTGAGTCGGTGATATCTCTTTCTTGGGACTAACCTGGGAATAGTGCAATAATGACCGACATCGGTTCTCGTCCGGCCACAAGGACTATTGAGTCAATTTGTACAATTGCTGGCACAAAGATTCCTAGTGTACCACCTATTCCACCTGATTCCGTCCCAAATCTCGAGTCTATTCGGAAGGTCTACGACATTGCCTTTGCTCCTGGTCTTGACAAGCTCTTGGAGGCCGACCAGTCAAAATGGTTTGCAAGGGAAGGGTTTCCTCTACTCTGTGCGGATCGGACTCAACTGGGCAACATGTTGGCGTATCTAACTCTGGTTAGTAACCATGCAGACACGCCTACAGAAAATGCGACTTTGGCTAGTCAGGAAGCACGAGTGACCTGGGCATTGCTTGAGCTATGCATCAGACCGGCGCACGACGGTGACGAGGAGGCAGACAGACTCACCCGCCGGTGCCGAGTGTTAGGTGCGATCCTGACTGGTGAACCATTTAGCGGTCCGACTGCATCGATGGCCGATTTTGTCCATCAAGAGGAGACAGAACCAGAACCGAAAGCAAGTGCGCTTGAAAAGCAGCTTGCCAGGAGATCTGAAGAGTTCTGGAAATTGGTTGAAGCGGCTGCCGCAAGTCAGATGGCTGATGGTTCCGGCTTGTCAGCTGCCGCTGTGAGACAATGCCGACCTTATCTTGACGGGATGGAGAGCAGAGACATCATTTACAGCATCATGTTACTGGCGTCAGGGGCTAATGGCAGCCTTACTTCCGAGCGAGAATTGGCTAAGAGATACCTGGAAACTCAGGCAAATGGACGAGCTACGAATCAAGTCTTTGCGACTCTTTCTGGCATGGCGTTGAGGGCGTTTGAGGGCTAATTGTGCCGTTCAATTTCGTTGGAAGCCTGCTTTCTTTGACACCAGGTCGACATCTTTCTTTACGAAAATTTCATTTGTGCCTTTTTTGCTGTGGTGGAGGTCAAGATAAAGAGAATGATGGCACACATACCCTTATGTTCGTCGGGGTGGGACAAACCTGCAAACCCAACATCTACTGTTTTCCCTCGAGCCGCTTGCGGTCTACTATTGTCACTACTACCACTCATTGTGTCACATCGGGACTACACGTACGCTGAGGGCACAGGACCTCTGGCGGGCGCCAATCTGCGGCGTGCCTGGCGAGTAATGGAAGAAATGAAACTGGATAGAGGATATTGTCCCAGACGGAAGCCGGGCATGTGTTGAAATAAGAAATAGCAATGCAGAATGGACAGAAACACCAATCTTCGGCAATGTATGTCGTCACGATCTCTACAGGCATTCCCCGCCGTCTTTGTCATGCACTCGACTTTATGGTCGGCAGCCTCTGCGCAAAAGGTCCTATGGCCTCACGAGATGGTCGAGCGTCTCTTGCTTTCTGCGGAGAGAGGCCAGCGACAGGATTGATGTAGGTGTGGGAGCGAGTCTCGAGACCAATAGTTATCTATCACATATGTACCGACTACATGCATATTACGGTTCTCAATGAACATGAGGCTAAATCAGATGATATCTGGAAACCTGAAGTAGCGGCTGGCGGGCTGGTAGCCTACGAGTAATAAGCGAGGATGGCAGGGATTGGGTGGTACAGTATTACAGACGATCACGCGGGCATCTGCCCCTGTACGGAGAATTCGTATTATTCCTCTCTGCTCGTACGGATAGTTGGCATCAGTGGATAGCGGCCGAGCGAGTCTACCCAAATACTTTGGTATGCTCGAACGCAGAACGCATGGGGGTATGAGTAGGTTACCGGGATGCGTAGTGGTTAGCTGTCCCTGGTGCTCCCGCAAAAGTGCAGCATCCGTGGGCATTCATTTGCATGCCTTTATCAATTTAAAAGAGATTCGCTAGAACCGTCGTGGGCCCGTTAAAAAACGTCTCATGTATCGTCGTGAGTATTCATGCCTTATAATACCCGTCCTTCCAGGCCTCATGTCATTGGGACTCTCTCCAGCCCGCATCATGTTCGATATTCAATTGTTGTCATCGATCAGTGCCCAAGTAAGGCAGCGTGTAGTTCGGCCTTCATCGTTCCTGAATCCTTCGCTGAAACGGCCCCCTCTGCCAGACCGAAACATGAGCAGGTTGAATCGGTCCAATGATATACGGCGTCCTCTTTTGGCAATTAACTGATGGAGAGATAAGGCTCTAAGAGACCCTTGCATCCTTTTCGCCCATTAGTCCCGAGCTTCCTCTTTGGTCTGCCCTGTGAAATCCGTTTTATTGCGAGATCCAATGCCCATTTTGACACATGGCATTTCTTTCAAGCGTAAAGCTGACTGCATCTCGCAGATTGCTAATTTTGGGCTTCAATGACAATTTTTCCATTGCTGACTCGCTCGGTAGCGCTAGATGTAGTTAGCGTTGCCATGTGAAAACCGCCCATCTCGATTTGTGTCGCGTCGTTGCGTCGTGCAGCAACTCGAGGATGTTGAGGTCTTGCGCCTGTAAGCCTGCCGGATCGGGAACAGTGTATATTGTAGGATAATTGCTGTGTGCTGATTTCCTGACACGCAGCCGGCGCGCCATGTTTGCTCCAGCTTCTTAAATGCCATTCAAAGCAATGGCTCGGTCGATTGGCACAGCTCCTCCATAGAGGTAACAAGACATGATGACGCCGGATAGTGGTGGCATCGAGGGCCTCGGGGGGACAGTAATTGCCGTTGAAAAGGCAAAATCGTTTCCAGGTTTCATCAGGACATTATTACCTTCCCCATTTCAATCATTTCCCATCCTTGTGCTTCTTTTCGACACTAACAATCCTCTTGCCGCCCATCTTCTTGATTTCTTCCTCCAATGTCCCCTCCATATGCATTTTGACAATATCGTCGCTCCCCCCTAGACTCTGCGCGTTGATCATGATATTCGGCACAGTCCGTCGACCCGTCAGGGTCGCTAACAGATCTTGCAACTTGCGGCCAAGTGTGGGAGCAGGCGCATCGTCATCTTCATCGGCGCCGTGCGGTTTGGGAACGGGAGTGGTCATAAGGTCGAGCTCCACTACGTAAGGGGCTGGAGTGATGGTATAGGTCTCCAGTAGGAGGGATTTGGCGCGTTTCGAATAGGGACAGTAGGATTTGGAGAATATGATAACTGGTTCGCAAAGATCATTAGCCAGGCAAGATGATGCGTGATCAAGTAAACGTGGGGTTTCCACATACTCGGACTCTTCTTCAAAATGCTTTGCAACTCTTGCCGTGCCATATCCTCTCCGTCATCCTTTGCCTTTTCGACTTTGTTCCCATTGTATGCGGTTTCCTCACCCTTTCCATCCGCTGCGACATCCGTGGCATGCGTAGCCTTGGCTGTGTCGACGGGGTACTTGGGCTTCTCTTTCGGCATGGTCTTCCTCCCACCTATACTAACCTCGTCGTCGTCAAAACTGATCGTTGAAGTATAGGGATGATTGCCGTGAACGGGCGCCGTGTCAAAGATCATTTGATCTTCATCTCGTTGTAGTCTTTCCTTCTGCCTGTCCAGAATCATCTGCAACTCGTGATTGGTTTGCGCAGTCAACTCTTTGTCGGATAAGGCACCTCGCAAGATGCCTCGACGGCGCGACAACGAGGCTTCGGTAGTTTTGCGGAAGTCTGTGTTCGAACCCGAGCCAGAGAAGAAGAGGAAGTAGATGAAGAGAAGGCCAAGGGTGAGGCCCACGGCCTGGCTGCGCCGCATGCCCGACATGTTGAGTATCGTGTTCGCCGGGTCGTTTCGGTGCTGGGGAAATTTGTGCACAGGGCCACGCGATGAATATGTGAAGGATTTCTGGTATCCCCTCAATCACCAATTAGTATGAGCAACCTACTTCCCTATGCAGCTGGCGTAGAGCGCGCTGACTCTCGGATTCCTTGTATTGGGCCAGATACATACACCAGCAAGCAGAACGGAGAGGCAAGCTGGAAAGGACAAAATGATGGGCGACAAGGAGCGTTTGTACCACGCGATCAGAAATGGATGAACCGTTCGGAGAATTGATAGGGAAATGAGGTCAATACAGGTACCACTCGGAGGTCGGGGAGGGCATGGGAGGGGGATCGACTAAGCACCAAAGGGATTAGCCAGGAACAGGCACACCTGTTCAGCGCACCCAGGCGTCCAGGGCGTCCTAGCCTCAGAGGCGCGAGGAGGCAATCTACGAGGTAAAAAGTGTCAGGAGGACATCATGGGTGCCACGAGAGAAGTAAGTGCACACTTGGGCTAATCCAGGAGAGAGACTCCTCGGAGAGTGAAAGGCTTCGCAGGCAGCGAACAGGGGCATCCAAGGGCCCCTCCGAACAGTTGGGGGCGGGCAATTTCAAGCACCGTACCCCACAGAATCAGGAAACCCCCTTGGTGCCCATAATTGTCCCCTCTGGGCGCATCGGCCTGTCTGGCCACGAGGCCCGGGAGACTGCCTGCTAACTTAATGGGATCAACCACCAGCAGAAAGCGGCAAGCCCACCACTGCGAAAAGCAATCTCCCCTAAGTGAAAAGGCATTTCTCATTTCCGGAAAGCGTCATCTCGTCAAGTTTCTATGACACATCCTTTCAATAATGTCCGTCGACTATGATCCCTATAGTATTACTCAGTCGTGGTGAATGGATCAGAAAAAAGAAAAGGGGCTGCTGGCCCAAGGAGGAACACTGTCGTGGTCGCGTGTCAAGTTCACGTCGCGTCAGCAATATCAAACCTCACGCCTTATCACGTCCTCTTTGGAAATGCTTACATGGTTGTACATCGTACCGAAGGCTGTACGGAGAACCAGTTGTGTAGCACGAGGCGTCTCCTTTCCCCCTCAGCTAGTCGTTACATATTCTTAAGCTGCGCCAACCTTGCAAGGCTCTTTTCCAAACGCCGCGCTTTGACATGGTATCCAAGAAAATCATCATAGAGGCCAGGTAACATAAGAGAGGGACCAACTTCTCCTATCTATTTTCATCTCATTTCGTGTCTCATTCTTCATGCCATCAATCCTCCTAACACCACTTTCTGCACGCCTATCATCTCTCTTTTGGCCGCTTCCCGAGAAGCTTGCTCAAACTCCCGTATGATCGAGGCGACGATCACTTTTCGTATTCGCCCGTCGACTTTGGCGAATAGCTCGCTGATAACGTTTGTACAAGCCGCCGGACCTGTCAGAATCTGTAGCAACCGCTGATAAGTGTCAATCAGCGCGTCGCACAAGGTTGCAAACACGGTGAAAAAGTCCGGCGTGAACGGGAGAGGCGGAGTTTGAAGATGGGTGTATGGTCCCTCATTGGGTAACAGTGTTGAGTTCGGCGCATCGAATGGTGCTGGAGGAGGAAATGCTGATGCGCTGGGAAAGTTGACCGCTCCCATGGGAGCCAAAGGCGAAGAATTCACTAGCGTGGTTGTCGATGAGGCAAAAGTAACTCCACTGGCTGTAGTATCTATCGAGGGTTGTGAGCCATGATGCCCGCCTTCCGGCACTGATGAGGGCGGCGAAGTAGTCGGAAGCATGGGGAGGCCAATGTCAGTGACCGGTCCGCTTGATTTCCGAGGTCTGGACGTCGTAGTGGCCCTCTTGAACATTTGAGGGATGCGTGCCCGACTCAATGAACTTGCCGAACTGCCATCAGGGGGATGTAGTTGTTGGAAGGATTCGAATTCGGTGAAAAGCGTGTTCAAATTCTTCAAATAGTCTTGTGCGACAGCTGTGCTGTTCGCAGCGTTGGTTTGAGTCTGCGGCTGAGGGGGGTGAAAGTCTAGAATCGTTGGCAGAGACATGCCTAAGAGCATGAAATTAACTGCTCGTCGCGAAAGTCGGTTGGACGTATAGGACGGTAGTTTTGTGATATCTGCCTCATGGAATTGGACTGTATTGAACCAAAAAGTCCTGCCCTCGTGCGCCTTTCGGAGGTACTCCAACGTTCCTATCCTCTTGTGTGTCAATTCTTGTATCAGCGCGTAAGAGGCAAAATTGTTGGCCTGGTTTGCTCCTGCCGCGACCGAGTTGTTAAGGAGCAGCCCATTGAGCGCCAACGCCGAGGGCACATCCACCTCTCGCGACGTGTTTTCTTTGCCTTTCGTTGCGTGCGTGCTTGCGGTATCATCTCCGACGCTGACATTGCTGGAGACTTTGTGCAGCGGCGCGCGATTCACGCCCGAGGGGTTGTAGACTGGAGCAATACTCCCAACCGGAAGGGCTAGCATATTGTTGTCAGATGTAGCGTGGTTGATCACGTCACTGTTGGTTCGGGCCACGAGATCGGGTTTGATGGTATTGAAGGTGACGGGCGCAGGAGGGGCAGTGGCCGTTCGAGTGTAGGCTGGTCGGGGACGAGGGCGAGGTGGTGTTGAGCCGGCCGCAGAGAGGGTACCGTCGACGGAGCCGTTAGATCCTAGAGGTTTGTGTCTGCGCGAAGGGGATCTGGTGATCTTGGACAGAAAGCCCGCCGCTCCTCCTGTCGATGCAGCTCCTCCTCCTCCTGCTGAATTGGTTGAGCTGATTGAACCATCGCGTGAGGATTGAGACCGAGGCTGACTCTGACTCTGCGTGCTTGGCTCAGTCATACTATTGCTCCTAGTTGTTTCTGCCTCGTACCACCGGACCAGGCGATCGAGATTGCCGAATCAGATTGGAGGCCCAGGCAGCCCAGGTCAATAGTGTGCGCCGGCGAATTGTGCTACCATGTAGAAAAGGGAGCGGAGCGTTGAAATGGTACCTGCAGATGGTGTGTAATAGCTCACTAAGGGGCGCAGGTGATGAGTTGTGGGGAGAACCTCACTAGGGGCGCAGTGTCTGCCACTCAGACTGCGCCATCTGTTCAGGGGCCACCATCACCTTGCACCACCACCTCCCCCATGTGTCTGCCCTCGTATCTTTGTTCCACATCAACAATGGCCTCAGAATATGCTTGACACTGCATGCACAATCCTCAAGCCCGACTTCCATCCCTACTGTAACTGAGCTGTCGACCAGGAAATGGACGTCGAGGTCCCTCAGCCTGGCCAATGGCCTGTTGATCCTCAGGAGGACCAGGAAATCCAGAAACATCGCATTTGGGTTGATGGTTGCTTCGACTTCACTCACCACGGTAGGTCTCCGCCATGAACCAAAGGTAAGCCTGTCTAATCCATTCAGGTCATGCTGGCGCACTGAGACAGGCCCGTCTACTAGGCACAGAGCTCTACATTGGACTACACTCCGACGAAGAAATCTTGAAGAACAAAGGGCCAACGGTTATGACTTTGGATGAGCGGTGTGTACTTCCTCTTAGAATCATTTCGCAAACATCTAAACTGAGTTGTAACCAAGAATCGCTGCCTGCGACGCTTGCCGATGGACAACCAAAGTCATCCCCCGTGCTCCTTATGTGACAGCCTTGCCTTGGATTTCCCATTATGGGTGCTGGTATGTCGCCCATGGCGATGACATCACCTCTGATGCTGGCGGCGAAGACTGTTACCGTTTCGTCAAGGCGGCTGGCCGCTTCCTCGTCTTCAAGAGGACTCCCGGCATATCTACCACCGACTTGGTCGGCAGAATGCTACTGTGTACCAAGACACATTTCATCAGGTCCCTAACGGACGAGCTTCAGGGTAAGATCGACGGCGTGGTTGATCCAACAAAAGCCGCCGCTGGCGCCGAGATGTTTGAGAGAATCAGAGACTATGCCACAGATGAGACAGCTTCACAACCCGGCGCTGAAGTATGGACTTGGGCCAGTACTCAATTGAACAAGCTAGAAGATGCCGACGCTGGGGTGTTTGAGAAACTTGTGCCTGGGAAGGCTCCAAACCCCGGTCAACGCGTAGTGTATGTGGACGGCGGCTTCGATCTCTTCTCCTCGGGCCAAATCGAGTTCCTAAAACGGGTCAATGAAGCCGAGAACTATGAGGCTTACGTGGTGGCCGGTGTTCACAACGACGATGTAATAAACCATTGGAAAGGCCTCAACTATCCCATCATGAATATCTTTGAGCGCGGGCTTTGTGTACTGCAATGCCGCTACATCCACGCTGTGGTTTTTGGAGCTCCATTCTCCCCCTCAAGAGCATATCTGGGAGCGATACCGGTGGGGAAGATTGCTGCGGTGTATCACGGTCCGACCACGTTCATGCCCTCGTCATTCGACCCATACATTGACGCGAAGGGAATGGGAATATTCCGTCAAATTGAAAATCACCCTTACTCTCATGTAAATGCCGGCGAGATCGTGGGACGCATCCTGAAGGGCAGGCAGGCATTTGAGGAGCGCCAGAGAAGGAAGGGCGAAAAAGCTGTCGGAGAAGAAGCTGTCCGGCAACGAGAGATTCTCGAACAACAACAAGCAGCTACCGAGGCGGAAAGGCGAGCTGCCATGGAATGACACGATGAAGGTCTCTTTAGTTCTTCGTCATGCGCCCTGAAAGGCCGAGAAGACTATATACATTTGCACTTTTGAACTGTAATAGAATCTAGACAAAGCTTCGGCACGGATAGCTGCAAGTACTGTTAGCAAGATAGCATGTCTTACAAGAGGAAAAGCATACCCATCTCCATAACTCGTCGGCCCGACCTCATACTTGACTTCCTTCTTGTACCCGTGCGTCACCGGCATAGGGGGTAGCCCATTCTCTCCCAACACGGCCGCGGCCTTCTCATGGTCGAAATATGGTGCCAATCCCTTCTCTCCTTCGTGCTTCACAGCCACCAGTTGCTTGCTGCCTTCCTCACCAGCCAACAGCTTCGGACTCGGA